TAATCTCAGTACTCAGGAGGCAGAGGCAGGAAAATTGCCACAAGTTTGAGTCCAGCCTACTGTATGTAGAATTCTGGCCCAGCCAGGACTACAGTCTAAGACTGTCTCAAACAATGCCCCCAAAACCAGCACTCGGGATGCAGAGGCAGGCGGATCTCTGTGAGTTCGAGGCCAGGCTGGACCAACAGCCTCCAAAACAATACAGAGAAACCCTGTCTTGTAAAAACCAAACAAACAAGCAACGGGACACAAGGGCAAGGTGGGAAGGCATTGGACTGGTGGGGTAAGGTTCACATTTCCTTTTCTCTTTGCCCAGCTGCACAGGATCTGACACTTGGATCCCTGGCAGGAAAGACAGACTTGAATATCCTTTTGCTGCAGGGAGGAAGTCAGTCAGGGACACAGTTATGAAGCTGCCTGGAGGGAAATCCCTAAAGATGGATTGGATTTGAGCCAGGGGCAGAGTAGCCATACAAACATTGCATATTTTTTCTCTAACCTTGAGCATCTATTACTCCTGAACTCAGATCGCAATTGTCTCTCTGCTCTCATTGTGGTTAGCGGTGGCGGCAGTTTGACATGAGCCAATATGAAAGAGTTAGGAGCATTTAGATAACAGTGGTTCATGAAAAGATGCACGGCTATCAGGGACTAGAGCACCTGAGGACAGGGAAGATGACTAGACCAGACTGGGAGACATTCTGAGTTTCATTCAAGACTTCCAGATATCTCTGGACCTGGACCTCGGCAGGTGTGACTTCTTGCATTTAAATGAAATGAAGATTCAAGACCAAGAAAGACCTCAGAGGTTGGTCACATGTGGGACTAGTACATTCTACATTAAACATAGGGTCGCTAGGGGGAACATTTTAACAGCTAGAAGCAGAAGCCACTTGTGGACATGAGATTGTGCTTCTGAAGGAGTCTGTAGCTCAGGGCTTATGTCTTATCCTACTCCAGGAGGCTGTTCCTGGTTCAGATGTGAATGGGTGATGGAGGTACCCTTGTCTAGTGCCCACCAGCTGCAAGCCCAGTGACTGCTGCTCTTGGAGGGCTAGGGGCTACATGACCTCTGCTCGGAGGCAAGGGATGGAGAGTGAGACATCTGTGGGAGACCAGAGTACCCTCCTCAATGCATCATTAAGTATAAACCTTAGGGTGGGTGTGGTGGTGCACACCTTTAATCCCAGCACTCAGGAGGCAGGGACAGGCGGGTCTCTGTGAGTTTGAGGCCAGCCTGGTTTACACAGTGAGCTCCAGTCAGGACTATATAGAGAGACCCTGTCTTAAAACTAAACAGAAAACAGAAAAAGGAGGAGAAGATAAAGAAGGATAAGGATGATGATGAGGAGGAGGAGGAAGGAGAGGAAGAGGAAGAGGAGGAGGAAGAGGAAGAGGAAGAGAAGAAGGAGGAGGAGGAGGAGGAGGAGAAGAAGAAGACACGACTTTGCCACATAGCCAGGAAGTCTGTGAAAGCTCAGCACACAGAATAGCAGATGTCCTTTAATTGGCCTTAGTCACTAAGGTGCCCTTGCTCTGTCAACACTGGGGCGGCGGGGGAAGGTCTCTCAGCGTACTCTCTGCTGTCAGAGAAGATAGAGCACGTCACATATGGGACAGAAATTCAGAGAGCATCTTTGTTTCAGCACAGCAGTAGTTATGAAGAGCACAGACAGCTAAAGCTAGAGGTGCAGGCCTGATGAGAACTCTTCTTGAAACATGACTTAACAGGCAACCGAATATTGAGATTTTTCTTCCAGTCGTGGCATGGAGGTTCTGGTGTGGTTCCAGGACACCACAGACTGGGATAGGATAGGAATCTAAGATCAGTATCCAACAGCAAGCCTGGGATAGGCCAGGACACGCATGTTCCTTGGCTTCACATCGGAACAACAATACAATAGATGGGTACTTGCTGGTTGCCTTAACTGTCAACTCGACAGTCTAGAAGCAGCTGGGGAAACTCTCAATGAGGGTTTTTTTTTTCTAGACCCGGTTGACCTACAGACATACGTGTGGGGAACTGCCTTAAGAGTTATTTTATGCACATGAGTGTTTTCCCTGCACGTACCGTGTGTACCACATCCATGTCTGATGTGCTCAGACCTCAGAAGAGGGTGTTAGGTCCCCTGGAACCGGAGGGACATTGTGGGTGTTGGGAATTGAACGCGGGTCCTTTGCCAGAGCAACTAGTGCTCTTAAATGCTGAGCTGCCAATCTCTCCAGCCCCTTGGGAGACTGTCTTATGCTAATTGGTGTGGGAAGACCTGCCCACTGCGGGTGGCACCATCTTCTAGGAAGGGGATCCTGGATTATGTAAATGAAGCAAGGTGCCTGAGTTCGAATATGCAGGCAGACATTTACTTCTCTCTAATTTTGATTGTGGGTGTGATGTGATTTCCTGCTTTAAATTCCTGCTGCTTTGACTTCCCATACTATGGCAGACTATAGCCTGGGATTGTGAGCTAACATAAACTCTCTTCCTCGAGGTTGGTTTTTTTTTTTTTTTTTTTTTTTTTGGTCCAGGTATTTATCACAGCAACAGAGATGAAACGAAAGCACATACCATATGCAATTTATACTCACATAAAATACTGAAGGCTCTGGTAGGCAACAATGTTATTTAAAGAGTGGAGGGACACATTATAGTTTAACCAGGAAAATGTAACCAAGAGGAGCAGAATGAACCCTTCTTGACCAGCAGGGCTGCCATGACATTAAAAACCATCAAAGACTCAGCAATATTATTACCACTTCCTCTAATATATGTGGGGATCATATACAGGGATACACAAAGAGCCATTGTGTATGTAAACACCACACACATACACACACATACATACACACACCATCCTCCTCCTCCTCAGCACTCATAGATAGAGGATGCTGGGATTGACTCTGCAGCATCTACATAGTTCATGCAGTCCAAGCTAGAGCTAGATTCTGTAACCAGCATGCCTGTGCCTCTAAAATTGAGGCTTTTTTTTCAGTATCCTTGCTCTAGAATAATTTCTCACTAAGCCTTAGTAACAGCAGTTGATTGACTCTAAGAGGTCCCCATTGACAATTTGAAAATAGACCTCTTAAAGTCCCCCAAGCGGGAAGCATTTGGGGGGTTTCATTCTAAGGTCATAAAATGACCCTGGCATGGATCATACTCTTAGTAGCATGTGTGCCCATCCTCAGACTTCTTCCTTTGCTAGTAGGTGCAGCAGATGGAGAAGTCATGAAGGCTTAGAACCCCAGAGGTCAGGAATCACAATGTCGGGTGACAGGGGAAAAAAAACCAGAAATGCCTCCTAAGGGCCCATGGAAAACATATCCTCCTAAGCCTGAGTTCACCCATCTTTGGGCTCCCAAAGTCTTTTTGTCAAGATGCCTCCTACCTCTGTGAATGCTTGGAGGGTCCAGAGACAACAGTGGGAAGGCAGCAGGAGGCAGTGAGGGCTTCTGGGATCAGGCAACAAACTACAACACGGCTCCATTTTTGGCTTATTACGTAATGGACTACACAGACATCCATACCAGACACAGCCAGCTTGGGGGCAGGATCTCTTCCCTACCCAGACTATCAGAGAAAAGTCCAAGGAAGGTCCTGGCTAGAGGAAGGAGTATGGGGAGGCGGGAAAGGGCACTGCACCAAAGGACTGCATGATTCTGCAGATGCCAGGGTCTGTGGGTCCCTGCGCCAGGCCCAGCATGGTCGGGCAGTGACTCTACCTCCTTGATACCATAAACGCTGACATTGTATGCGCCCAGGTTCCGGTGGCTCCGCCCCCGTCATCCGTGCCCCAGTTGAGTCACAATCTAGAGGGGTTGGGCTTCTCTCCCAGATATGTGGTTGGTCTTTTTCTCCCAGGGTTCCTGCTGGGGCGTCCCTGCCACAGGTTCTGAGAACAGAGGGTTTCATTGATGTCTTCTCAAAGACCACCTACAAGGGAGCTCAAATCCAGGTCTTTTATTGCTGGGGGGTGGTGTTCATGATACCTTGTCTGCTGTTTTATTTTGCCTGTCTTTGGCACCAGTCAGAACTGTCCTACCTGCAAATATCTGGCCTGTGGCCGATCTAGAAGACAGGCATTACACATCATCATATTTTTAAAAAAATCGGTCCTCCATTTTCTCCCCTAAATGGCAACGGAAAATGTTCTGAAGCCCCCTCCCCTGACCCCTGATCATCTTCCTGAGCTAGAGGCTGTGTGAGAGCCACATGAGTAGCAGGTAACAGCTGATGCTCCCACGTGTCCTTGCGTTTCAAAGCCCATCTATTGAGGGCCAAGATGAAAAGAGCAACTTTTGAGTTTGTAGCTGAGGTCAGGGGACACAGTGAAGCATGGAGACATAGTTCCAAGTTTATCCCCACAGTCCAGGAAGGCAGAGGAGGGGGACAGGAGAAGGACCTGCCCCTCCCGTCTGTCTGGGAACAGGGGTACTAGAGTCCAACTCCCACTGTTCAGGGCTCAGGGTCATATGTCATGGAAGGAGGGAAATTATGCGTCACCCAGTTTCCCTGGGAGGCTAGAGAGACTCTAGTGATCTAGGAGGATGGAGAGAAGGAAGCTTTCCATCCTCTCCAAAGAAAGTTCCAGAGGCCTTAGAAGGGTTCCTAAATACCAAGTCACCTCTCATGTGACCGGTAGACTTAGTGGCTGGTGAGGGTCGACTGGTTCCTGCAAGGGACTTAGTTCTGACTCCAGCACATTCTTTGGCCAACCCTTTTCAAGAAAAGTCCAGACAGCAAGTCTCTGGGGGAAGGCTTGAGCTGGGAAAAGAGAGCCAGCCAGTGTGCTAAGAGAAGTACCAAGTCAAGAAGCAGAGGCGGTAACCACGGCAACACGGACCTCCTGGGGCCCCTGCCAGCTAGGATGCTGCCCCTTGCCTGGGATGCCCTGAGGAAGTGCCACTTCCCCATCTGCCTCCTGGTGAGTATGTATGAATGAGGACCACTCAGCGGACCAGGAGGAAAGCATCTGTGTACAGCCAGGGCAGTGGGCACTTACCTCCATCAGCAGTGGAGAAACTCTGTGGAGACAAAAGCAGAGCAGGGCGTCACTGTGCGTGTGTGGCGTGCCCCGACCCCCAGACACAGCCAGAACTTGTCAGGCATCAGGCAAGACCCAAGCTTGCTGTACTTCTGGGATCAGTTAAGGACCTGTCATTCTCAACCGACACTGAGCCAATTTGTTTGAGGGATGATTTCAACCATCCAGCAACTATTCTGAGTTAAGTTGTAGATGCTACTTTATGTTGTTACATTGGGTAGTTCCATGTATTTACAGGGTTTGTGTTGGGATCCCTATCCATTTGCTACAGTGTTGCCTTTTCATAAAAAAAAAACAAAAAAACAAAAAACACCTCAAAAGGCAAATTCTAATTAAAGCCTCCCATGGTCATCAAATCTGCTGAAAAGGAACTGGGTTTACAATTCTAGTGCCTAATTTGAATTTCCAGACATTGGGGAGACATGGGGTGTGGACAGCAGCAAATAAGCGGGATTAATTTAACAGATTTGACTCCGTGCCTCCCAGCGAAGGCAGGTCACTGTGCTGCTGGGACGGAATCTGTCGCTAGCACTTTTGCCTTCTTCTCAGAGTATGGTTCAGATTTCTCTGGCTACAGGCTAGCCCAGCGGCTCTCAATCTGTGGGCCGAACCATCCTGCATATGAGATATTTACATTACAATTCATAGCAGTAGCAAAATTACAGTTACAGAAGAGCAACAAAATAATTTACGGTTGGGGGGGTCACCACGACATGAGGAACTGTATTGAAGGGTCACAGCATGAGGAAGGTTGAGAACCTCTGCTCTATCTGCTTCTCTAGGGGGCTTGCCCACCCGGCCCCAGTGGCCTAGAGAAACCTGGCTTTTCTTTCTTCACCTTCTGCAAGTCCTTGAAGGATTTCTCTGTCTCCTTCAGTTTCTCGAGGATGATCTGCTCTTTGGCAGATATCTGGGACTCTTCACTTTCGAGTGCTTGTATTTCCTGCTCCAGCCTGGAAGACACACAAACAGAGGACAAGATGCTTTATTGTCCCGCCGCCCATTGGCAAGGAAGCAGCCACCTTCCTGCTGAGAAGCCTGTGCCTCTCATTGTTCACTACACTGAGAAATCGGGCCAAGGTTTTTCCATTACGGAGGATCCTGTGCAACTGGCTTTGTTGCCAGGAAGACATTGACCAAAGGAAAACAACCCAGGACCACATCCACTGCCTTACGGCCAGCGCTCTGCAACATGTTTGGTGTCTGTTCCTTGCCCTGGCACCCCGGAAATATACACATCAGCGGTGATATGCATATTTCTTATTCAGAGGTAGATTGTGTTCGTACAGCTCAGGACATACGGCTGGAAGGAAACGGCTTCAGCTTCTCCTACTATCTCAGAGGAATGTCTCTTTTCTCTGAATGGCCAAAGGGCAAAAGGACAATGTCCCTCAAAGGAAATATACTGTTGAGAAGTGGCGGCCAGAACCATGGAATTGCTGTTTCTCTCTCTCCTCTATCTCCTCTCTCTCTCTCCCCCTCCCCCTCTCTCCCCCTCCCCCTTTCTCCCCCTCCCTCTCCCCCTCCCCCTCTCTCCTTCCCTCCCTCCCTCCCTCCCTCCTCTCTCTCTCTCTCTCTCTCTCTCTCTCTCTCTCTCTCTCTCTCTCTCTCTCTCTCTCTCTCTCGGAACTCTCCTGCCAAAAAGAAATACAATGGATGGGACAGAGGTAACTGCCCCCAAGTTTCAGGATAGTTTCTTAGTTGCTATACCTATTCTATATAGTTTCAAGAAGGGGACTTTTAGCACTACCAAGAGACTCTGAGAATATTCCAGAACAGCTATGGCTGTGCTTGGGGGTAAAGCTCAGCATTTGTAGTCTGGTATAATGACAGGAATGATGATTAGCTGTTGAGTACTTGCTCACTGTTCCAAATGGCTATTCTTGGTTGTCAACTTGACCTCACTTGGAATGAACTACAAGCCAGAAATAAAGGGCACACCTGTGAGAGATGTTTTTTAAAATTTGGTTTGGAGTAGGTGAATCCACTTCTAGTCTAGACCTTTGAGGAAGAAAGATACACATCTGGCTCTTGAGGTGGGGAGACACATCCTTTAATCTGGGCCACACCTTCTTCTGGAAGTCTATAGAAGCTTCTTGCCCTAGCCTTGTTAGGACATCCATTCCTTCACTGGCATCAGAGACTACTTCCTGGGTATTGCAGCATCTACTGAAGACCCGCTGAGACATCTGGGTCTATGGACCGAACTACGACTGGATTCTTGAACTTTCCATTCACAGGTGGCTATTATTGGATTAGCTTGGCTGCAGCCTGTAAGTCATTCTAATGAATCTCCTTTACATATAAATGAATATACACACTGTATGTTCTGTTACTCTAGAGAACCCTTCCTAATACACATGGCTTATTTCATTCAACTTTCCCAGTGAGTAGGGAACTCCATTTCAGAGACGAGATCAACAAGGACTTGTACGATTTAGTAACCGTTTCAGAGCTTTGACACAAGAATGCAACCAGGAGGTCTTAACACCAGAACCCCCGCTCCCAACAACTGCCCTAGATCTTACAGCATTGGCTTCACAATGTCTGCCCCCAAAGCACTGCATGTATTGGGATAGCGGACCAGTGTTGTACTGCAACCAGGTCATGGTGTATCATACAGAGATAGACGTCTTTTTACAAAAGACTCTACACTTCTGGTCCTCTTGAATTCTTTGGTCTGAACTTCCAATTCATTCATTCATTCACTCACTCATTCACGCACTGGTCATTCACTCATCCATTTTTGCTGCTAGCCATTGCCCATGGCCAATTCATTCATTCATTCACTCACTCATTCACGCACTGGTCATTCACTCATCCATTTTTGCTGCTAGCCATTGCCCATGGCCATCATGAAAGCTTTGCTGTATTTGACACCTGACTAGGTAGATTGCCATTGTCTCAGCTCTCCTGGGAACTGGCTACCGTGTATACTAGATTCACATTTAAAATGAAGAGTTCAGGGCTGGAGAGCTGGCTCCAGGGTTACACATAACAAATGCATCTTTTTTTCTTTTTTTAAGGAAGAGATCAGAGTGACATCTGTGAGAGGCAAGGGACATCAAGGCACAGGCATGAGCTGAGTATAGGGTGAGACGGCCTCCAACCTCAGCATTTATTATTTTTTTTTTGTGGGTCCCTGGATGTAAGAAATGTACCTTGCCTCAGATGACCACAGTGCCAGACATGCTCATCAGTCCACCTGGGAAAAGTGGGAGCCACGCAGCTTACAGGACCCCGGAGTATCCCACCCCCAGAGCCACGTGACTCTTCAATCACTGTCCTGCTCATTTCCCTGCACGCCTCACTTACACAGCAGCTCTCTGTTTGCTCTGACGTGCTACACTTTCCTCTCCTTCTGGAAACTCACCCCGCACCTGAAGCCATTCCCGAAGTCTCAACTCAGGTGCCCCTGCCCCTTCGGTTTCCAGAGAGTCACCTGTAAGGGTGGCTTCCCTTTCTTCTGCACCCCTTTCTGTGGTTTTGTTTGTTCTAAGACAAAGCCTCGGGTATCCCGGAATAGCCTCAAGCTCCTCCTGAGTGGTCAGATTGCAGGCATGCACCACCATGCCCGGTTTGCTGTGCATGGGGCCCAAGGCTTTACATATGATAGACAAGTGCTCTTCCAACTAAGCAACTACCTTAGTCCTGCCCCTGCATTTCTGTTATCCCATTGCTCTTATTTACCAGCGTTCTTACCAAATCTACTGTAGGCTATAGCAGCTTTTCTTTTCTTCTCTTTTCTTTCCTTTCCCCTTTCCTTTCCTTTCGTTATATTTTTGTTTTTTTTTTTTTGTTGTTGTTGTTTTGTTTTGTTTTGTTTTTTGAGACAGGGTTTCTGTGTGTAGCCCTGGCTGTTCTGGAACTCACTCTGTAGACCAGGCTGGCCTCGAACTCACAGAGATCCACCTGCCTCTGCCTCCCGAATGCTGGGATCAAAGGCGTGCGCCACCAACGCCCGTCTTAGCAGCAGTTTTCTATTGAGGTGATTTTCCCCCTGGAAGAAGGCTGCGACATCTCTACTCTGGTTGTTTAGAACTCAAGGGGACAAGCGCTGGTGTTACTGACATCATGCAAATGGAGACTGGAGATGCTGATAAACACCTTACGATGCACAAACAGTCCCTGCAGAGAAGAATTACCTCGCCCCCAAAATAGCAATGGGCACTGTTAATTTCCCCACCTGGATTAAAAATGTGTCAAGGTGGGGGGACAGACCACATTCTCAATATACAAGCGTTCAGTGAATTGATACAAAAGCTGAAGCTGGTTGCACAAAGGCGATTTCTGGGCCAGAGGTCCTTTAGCTGGGAAGCATGGAACTAGGGACCGGGTGAGTTCTGAGAGGTCGCCTAAATCTCTAAAAAGAGTTATCTCAGCGGGAACCTCAGATATTATCCTTTAAAATGGTAGCCCCTCCCTTGGGGACCGCAGAGATAGCTCAGTAGTTGAGGGTGAATCTGCTGCTCTTTCAGAGGGACCTGAGTTCAAGGACCAGCACCCACGTCAGGTGGTTTCACAGCTGCCTATAACTCTAGTTTCAGAGAACCTGATGCCCTCTTCTGGACACCATGGACATTGCACTTAACACACATGCACACACCTGCAGGCAGGCACATCGTACCGTGTGTGTGTGTGTGTGTGTGTGTGTGTGTGTGTGTGTGTGTGTCCATCCCCTCACCTTTGCCTTCCCCGGAAGAACAGCTACTTCCCAGGACCCGTCAATGTTGATCTTAGCCCCTGATTTGCTTTCGTTTCCCTCGACTTTGAATTTAGCCACGTGATGTGTGCTGGGGGATGAAATAAGAGCAAACAAGACAAAAGCACAAATAGAGGCTTGCCGAGGTGTACCTCTAGGCTAGAGCCAAGAGACGACTAGGTAACCTTGACCCCAGAGAGAACAGATCTGAGTTTTGCTCATGGTTAGAAGGCATTGTCCAGTCAGTGCCACACTGTAGGCCAGAACAACTCAGCAGAGCTCAGCTTGCAAAAGAGTCAAAAAGAATAAAGGACTCTAAACTTGGATGATGAGCTTGAGGGAGGTTGCTTTTGTTTGTATGAGACAGTCTCCCTATGCATCCCTTGCCTGGAACTCCGTATGTAGACCAGGCTACCTTCTGACTCACTGAAATCTGATGTTGTCTTTGCATCTGCCTCTGCTTCTACTTCTCAAGTACTGGGACTAAAGACTCGCACCAGCATACCCTGTTTTTTGTTTTGTTTTGATAAGGTCTTGTTACTGTAGCCCTGGCTGGCCTTGAATTCATAATTCTCTGAGTGCTGGGATTACAGGTGGATGGAATTTGTTACATAGCACTATTGTAGTAAAAATTGAGACCCGTCAATACGGATGTTCATAAATTATATTTATATTCTAATATACCTTTATAATCAATTATATTTTATATATACATACACACATATTCATGTATGTATTAATACATTAGGGATACATTTATTTATCTAACACTACCTAAGGTTGAGAGATTACAAAGAATTTAAGTTATCCTGCTGCTTCCCCCAAATCTGACTTTTAAGTAGGTCACCCTTTAATGAAGATTAAGACTGAAAAAAAAGGGAAAATATCAGTCATTGGGTAGTAGGGTTATAGATTATTTTAATGTTGTTCTTCTAAGTTTCAGTATCTGCTCAATTTGGAATATAGTGTGGGTGAGCATATAGCTTAAATGTTTGGCTGCTTGCCTAGCATATTGGAAATCCTGGCTTTGATGCCCAGCCAGGCCACTCAGTGGTCTCTAAGGTGCTTGTCTTTAAGTTTAGCAACACAGTAGGAAGAGAGAATCGACTTCTGGGAGTTTGTCCTCCGACTTGCACGTATCCATTGGGAGACACACCCACTCCTCCAAACACACGCACAAAGTAAATAAATAAAAACATGATAAAAAATCATATACTATGTATCTAACTAGATCACCTGGTTTAGGGACAA